ATATTATATTATATTATACAGATCTGTTAGTTACCATTAAATCAGTTATTCTCGAGTTTATAGATATGTTATAAAACCTTCATACAGCAAACTGAAAACTAGCCACTGCTAGTGAAAAAAAACCAAAAATACCAAAACACAAAGTAACAGTAGCTAAAAGAGGTTAGCTAAAAGGTAAAAGTAGCAAAGGTGTAATCTAAAAGTTAACTAGCAAAGCACTTGCTAAAGGCAAATTGTTGCTAAAGGCTAGCTGAAAGTGGTCAAAAGTTTAAAAAGCTAACTAAAATCTGAAAAATTATAGCTGAAAGCTAAAAGTAGTACACGGCTAGAAAAAAGGCTAATATAAACAAAAAGCTAAAGGCTGAACGTATAATGCTAGCTAAAAGCAGTTAAAAGATTAGCTGGAAAACTAAAAGCAACAAAAAGCTAGCTAAAAGCTAATATTAACAAACAGCTAAAGCCTTAACTAATTAAATGGTTGCTAATGGCAAAATGTGCAAAAGGCTAGCTGAAAATGAAAAGAATAGCTGAATGCATGCTAAAAATAGTAAAAGAAGCTGAATGTAGAAGAGGATAGCTAAAAGATAAACGCAGCAAAATGCTAGCTTAAAGCTATTAGTAACAAAAGGCTGAAGGCTTAAAGTAGCAAAAGATTAGCTAAATAAGGCTGACTACAAAGTAAAGACTAAAAGTAGCTAAAGAAGACCCAAACAGCCTTTCAGCTGAAACTGAACGGGTTCATGAAGACCCTGGAGGATCCACCAAAACCAGAACTGTTAGAGGTTCCCGTCCCTTCTGGTCTTTATGTTTCTGTAGACCAGGATCAACAAGCATCTGTTGGGTTTCAGAACCACAGGAAGTCCACAGGGTCGGACCGGGTCCAGTCCCTGACTTCATGGAGCCGCAGGCCTCCAGCAGCCGCAGGCTGACTTCAGCTGCTGTCGCAGCAGAGCTGCTGCTCTCTGGTTTGTGTGAGAAGAAGGAGGCTTTATGTGGCGTTCTGGGGGGGGGGGGGGGGTCTGTGTGGAGAGCTGCTGAAGGGGAAGCAGAATTCTGACAGAGCGGTTCTGGTTCTGGCTCCGGTCCAGCGAGCCCCAGTGTTGGGTGGTAGGAGAACAAGTGGTCATTGTGTGGGTCTGAGTGGGACTCGTCCCCACAGCAGCCCCTCGCAGCCGAACAGTCTCACTGCTTTACAGCAGCTCTGCTCCAGAATCAAATCAAACAAAGTGACTTCTTCTGTGAAACAGAAAAACCTTTAAGTTTAAACATGTAGATGTGTTTTAGAACATCTGTTTACCAATAGTTTGTTTTGTTTTTGTTTTCATACCAGATCCTGTTCAACATAAAAACAAACATCCAGTAGAAGCTGACAGAGGTGAGCTTAGATTATTACAGAGTTCATAAATTACTAAGAGCTGTGGCGGACATGTTTTACCTCATGTTTTGTTTGGTTTCAGGTTTTCACTGTGGTTTTACTGATTTCCTGTTTTGTCCTACTTTATTTACCATTAACTAGTTTAGTTTCTTTTTAATGATTTTAAGTTTGAACATTTTAACTGAACAGATTTTGGTCAAATCTCTGCAGCCTTTGAGGAGCTGCTTCCTGCTGGGGTTTGAGGACATTTTGTGTTTTAATACTTTCAACAAGGAGCTAAATCTTGTTTAATAAAAACAAAAGCTTGAGTGGAGGAGCTGGACTTGGTTTATGTTGTTTACACACATTCGGCTGATTTTAGCAGGATCCGTTGTGTGTTTGTGTGCTGGAGATAAAACAGGTGCGGTCAGGAAGTTCAGCCTGATTCATCAACAAAATATCCAAACTGCTTTAGTTGATGGTTTCAGCTTCTAATCCAGCTTTAATGTCCAGATTTATAATCTTAAATTAGAAACTGCTAACAAAGATTAAAAAAACAACTAAAGAAAAAGCTAAATGCTAACCGTAGCATTACTGCAGCAGATTTGAAGGAACTGAAGCTCTTCACTTGTTTTTATGGATAAAATATTTGTAAATAAAGAAAAATATAAAAAATATAATCTGTAATAAAAACTACTGCTGGTTCATCTGGAGGCCCGCTGCTACTCGGCCCCCCGGTGGGGTGTGCGGCTGGCTGCCGGAGTGCTGGGGGTTCCCGGGGTCTGGGGCTGGGCACTGGGGTGTGTGCCAGCCTGGCCTGGTGACTGCCTGTTGGGGCTCGGGGCCTCTGGGCCTGTCGGGCTTTGCCTGGAGGGGGTGTGCCCTGGGGGCCCGGACCTCTGTGCCCTTTCCTGGATCTGCTCTGGTATGGTGGGTGCCGGTGGGGCCCATGAGTTTGTCGCTGCTGGCCCCGGGGGCTGTGCGTGTGGTCGCTGGGGGGACTCTCTCAGTTCTCTCCTATGGTCTGATCAGGGGGGTGGGGGGGCGGATCTTCCTGTGCGGGTGCCCCTTGGGGCTCTGCGCTCGGGTCTTCTCTATGTCTGCCTCGTGTCTTGGGGGTTGGGTCTCGGTCCTCCACAGTCACTATTAAATATTCCACTGGAGAAATCTTGTATATACACGCATGTTCACAACTGCTCACAAACAGGTGTTCTGATCCGGGGGTTCTGACAGGTCACTGAGTGTGTATATATGTCTGTGTGTATATACTGACAATATTTATGAATGTAGGCATGTATGTATGTATGTCTTTATATATGTATGGGTATGTGTATATTTTTATATATGCCCTCCATGTATTTATCCATTTATTTTTCAGGTGAGCGGACAGATGTTGGGTGTGTGGTCCTGTGTTTTGTTGGTGTTTATTTAATATACTTCTAATCACTATTTCAATCCTTCTATCTTTTTAATTACTTCTCTCTGTTTTTCTCTCTATTTTCTCTTCACTTAAAAAAAGTCACTGATGAAGAAATAAATAAACTAAATAAACTAATATTTAGTTTCGTTTTCTACTGAAGTGACACAAAAAAAAGATAGAAAATAAAAATCTGTCATAAAAACTGATGTCCGGATCAAACCAGACTCTGATCTGATGTTTTCAGTCCCGACTCGGTTCTGTTTGTGAGCTCACAGCTGGACCTGGTCCTGTAACGACCCGGGTTTCATGTCCTCGGGCTTTTTCAGCTCCGATCAGCAAACACAGCCGATCGACTCTGATGCAGGTTCTGATCCGGCTCAGTTCAAACCAGGTCTCTGTCCTTGTGTTTCCTGGTTCTGGTAATGAAATGGATCTTTGAACTGTTCATCAGAACCTGTTTGTCAACATCATTAAACTGATTGTGACAAAACGAGCTCCACTACCAGGTGAAGTTATCTGAGCAAAGATGTCATGTGACTAACGCTGTGGCGGCCATCTTGGATCAGGGTGTAGTTGTTCAGTTAGAAAAATAAAAGAAATCAGAGCAAAGATCAAACTGTTTATTGAACTTTAATTTGACAGATAAGACTTAAAACTGTTGAAATGTTTGTTTTTGTCAACATTTATTATTATTATTACAGCGGCTGGAAACAACAGGAAAACAAACAAACATTTAGAAAGCCGGTCCGAGCTGGTGTGACTCAGTTCTGATTAAATGTTTAATAATTTAACAGTTTCATCTCTGACTCTGCGTTCAGGGAGTGAGACACTGATGTTTTAATGAACCTGGAGGTCTGATACAAACAGATGTTTGTTTGTTAACGAGCTTCGCCTGATTTAAAGTTTCTGACAGGAGTTGTTTTTGAACTTGTTGCAGCAGAAACAGTTGAACCAGAAGAACTTTGGTAAAAGTTGCCCTGAAAGACGAGCACCACAACAGGAACAAGGTCTCCTCCACACCGCTGCTGCTGCTGCTGCTGCTGGTTGGAAAATCCACACAAATAAAACTTTGTTTCTCCACAGACTTGTTCGTATAACTTTTATAAAATAAATCTTATATTTCTAAGAATAAAATGATATTTACAGAAAGTATTTTGGCAGACAGGAACAGGAACCAGTCTGTTGTTGTAAACAGCTCTTTACTCTCGTTTTGCTGCTCCTCTGACGTCGTACATTCACAGCTCAGGGAAAATATTGTGCTTTAAAAGGAATCCAGGATTACCTGCAACATTTATATTTGATCAACTTTTACTTTAAAACAAAGATGTTAAAAATAATCTGAAACTGATGAACAACAGAGCTGCTTCATGGAAGGAGAACCTCAGTTTTGCTGGTTAGTTTTCACGTTAGCTCCAAGCTAATATTAGCTTAGGAGCTAATGCTATGTGTATTAGCTCAGGTGCTAATTTAAAGCTAACAGGCTAAACTGAGGTTCTCCTTCCATGCAGCAGCTCTGCTCCTGATTTTCAGTAAAAGTTTATCAAATATTGTTAAAGTCATCGTGTCTCCTTCTATCCAAGGTCCTCTGAGGGGACTTCACTGGTCTCTGAGGGGACTTCACTGGTCTCTGAGGGGACTTCACTGGTCTCTGAGGGGACTTCACTGGTCTCTGAGGGGA